TCTGCTTCCCACTCTGTCTCCTGTGACTCCGCTCACCCCCAGCTCCTCAGGCCTGCACCCCAGTTCCATATGCATTTCAGTCCATCGGCCTATTCTGCTCCGCACTGTCTCTGGTGTCTCCTCTCACCCCAGGTCCTCGGGCCTGCACCCCAGTTCCGTATGCTGAGCTCCCGCTTGTCTGCCCCTGGAAAAGCAGCTTCTGTGCACGGGTGTGTCACGCTCAGAGACGTTCCACCCGCTGCAGAGGGCAGCCACGGTCTCCTCCCCTGGAGTGACGACCGTCTTTTCCAAGACCCAGTTCATGGTTTGGCCACTTCAGCGACAAGACTTTGATGGTGTTCCGGGAGGTTTTCATTTAGCTGAGACGCAGCTGGCTCCCTCCAGCCGCGCTGAGTCGCGAGGCCCCTTAGTCGGGGAAGCGAGGCTGAAGCGGCTCGTTCCGCTGCGCCGCCCGGCTTCAGCCCAGCCGACTCCCGGGCGCCTTCTCCGCAGGGCGCCTTCTGGGGGCTGCTGGGCGGCCTCGTGATCGGCCTCTGTGTGATGGCGCTCAGGTTCGTCTACAGGCCACAGAGCTGCACGGGGAGCAGGAGCGCGTGCCCGGGGCCCGTCTGCGACCTGAACTATCTCTACGTGGTCATGGTGCTGTTCGCCGTCTCCCTGCTCCTCATGCTGGGAATCTCCTCGTGCACAAAGCCGGTTCCCGACCAGCACGTAAGCGCGGCCGGGATGGGGTGCCAGCGAGGGGTCACTTGGCTCCTCAGCTCTGGGGTCAGAGTGCCGCGGGTCAGGGGTTGGGGTCACGGGGGTGAGGGTGGCTGAGACACGGGCCAACAGCGCAGAAAAGACCCTGCTCAGAAACAGAGTTCACCCGAAGAGCCTTTCAGCCATCTGCCACTTAGAATGTGAAGCTTGGATTTGAAGCCGCTAAGTCCACTAGCTCCGGTGTGAGCTGATGCCACGGGGGCGGTCCTGGCCGCTGCCGCCCACCCAGAGGGGCCAAGCCAGCGGCAGGAGGGGACGGTGGCTCTGGCGGCGCCTGCGGCCGGCTCCAGGCTGGGTGTGTGTGGCGCTCCGCATGCCAGCCGCTGGCCGCCTCACAGGAGTGGCCGTCCGCCCAGGCGGGGTGTTGCCCAAGGCGCCGAGGCTGGTCAGCGGGCAGCTCTGGGCCCCAGCCTGGCTTCCCCCTACTTCAGCAAGGCCAGGGATGTCACGGAGCCAGAAAGCAGCAGGCTGTCTGAAGTTTAGGGTTCAGCACTTGTGCCTGAGGTCTGGGTGCAGAAAAGCTTGGGACCCCCTCTTGGGCCTGGGGCCACCTCTGGCCACGCCTCCCGCTCGGCGCGGTCTGTCTGACTCTTTCCTCTCGCGGCCCCGCTGCAGGGGGCGACGGCCAGGGCGCCCTGCATGCCCAGGGGCGTCCCTGCTCCGGACTGCTGCGGCTGGGTCTCGCTTACGAGGCGTGCATGGCCGTGTCCTTTCCCGCTGTCCCCTGCTGTCGGGTCTTGGCTCAGCCCCTCCCTGGCACTTGCTGGCCCCTCGGCACCCCCAGCCAGGTGCTCTGGAGGACGCAGCACAGTTGCCAGCGGGAAGAGACAAAGAGGCGGCTCGTGTCTGGGGGGCGGAGGCCGGGGCAGAGCCCAGCAGGGGCCCACCTCGCCCAGCCGGCTCCCCAACGCCCAGAGGCCGAGTCTGCGTATGTGGGGCCCCATCAGAAGGGGGCTAAGGTTCCGCCCAGTCTCTGTCGGCCACAGAATGTGAGTTTCAACATTTTAGTCCAAGAGGTGAGAATCATGTGAGCGTTAGAATGAGCTGACTGGGCGCGGCACTACGAAGCCGAC